GAGGAGGGAGCCGGCATACAGCTCCCGGGTCATGTGGCCAGCATGACTAAGCCGCTTCTGGCAAACCAGAGCAGCACACGGAAATGCCGTTTACCTTCCCACCAGAGCGGTACCTATTTATCTACTTGCACTTTGACGTGCTTTCAAACTACTAGGTTGGCAGGAGCAGGGACCGAGCAACAGGAACTCACCCTGTCGCAGGGATTCAAACCGCCGACCTTCTGATCGGCAACTCCTAGGCTCTGTGGTTTAACCCACAGCGCCACCAAAGAATAGTAGGCAAATTAATGGAGGAGAGTTCTATCAATGGCTACTAGCCATGATGGCTCTGCTCTGCCTCCATTGTCAGAGGCAGCAGTGTTTCTGAAACCCTATTGCTGGAAACCACAGGGCTCGTGGGCTTGGATCCTGCCTGTGGGTTTCCCACAGACATCTGGATGGCCACTGCAAGAACACGATGCTGGACTAGATGGGCCATTGTGCTCTTATGACGGTTCCACCGCCAAGTCCTGCTGTTGCCCACCAAGGCTATGGATTGTGCCATTACCTCTGAGCAGTATTACTCACCTGCATCCTGCCTGCTTTCCCCATAGCCCACCGGTTGTAGGTAAAGAGTGCTTTTAACCTGCACCATGTTGTACATGTTAAGTATAATTGTTTAATTGACACTGAAACGGAGAATGGCTAAATGTGTATTGCTGACGTTGGGGTTTTCCACGGCAGTATACTAAGCTCTCTGAGCTTTAACGGGTTGATAATTAACTGTTGAATGTTCTTTGCTCTAAACTGAATGTGTGCCTTTGATCATGTGACAAAAGTATTTGGTTGCAAATCTGCCATTTTGGAAGAGTGGTGGGAGTAAGATGTGTCAAATGAGTCTCCTGAAAAGAGACAAAACAGCTATATGCTAATGGAGCCTATGTGTGGGAGAGCTATGTTTGTCAGCTCTGATTATAATTTATTTTATTTCTTATAAGTTGCTGAGCCTGCACTGGACGTGCTCAATATATTGTACAACGGTTTGGATGTATCATTTTTTTTCTGTTTTGAAGAAAGTTCTGCAAGTAAAGTTTTGAATAATATCTACTGAGCCTAGACAATGTTTTATTCCAAAAAGAGTGAGTTTTTATGCATTCAGTTGCTTTAAGCTGTGTAGTATTAGTATCTTCAATAGCAAATAAATCCTTTTAATACCAAATAAGAATCCCTTCTGAATGTAGAAAGGCTTGAGCACTTTCCCCTTTGAGTCAGCAGAATGTGTCAGCCAGTGATTGAATAGTGAGTGACATTCAGAACAACCTACCGCCTGGTTTTATTATTATCTTGGTGGCCTGATCCCGGACCCTAAAATATGTATTTTGTCTATTTTCGATCAAGTTAATGCAGACCATACATTTAAACAGATAAGTATATCTTCTGGTAGTCATTCAGTTAGTGATTGTTCAGGGCTGGAAAGACGCTTCCTGCTGTAACCTAGATAACTGGTTCAAGTCAGTGGCGCATGTGTTTTGCTGGTGTCCGGGGCACATGCGTGCACATAAGAGGGCAGGGGGCAGAGGGCTAATGGAGCCCACCGTGCCAGGCCCAGCCCTCACAGCTGACAACACCAGCCCCACAAAGCAGCACAGGGCTGGCACGGTGGCGAGAGCAACACCCCCCATAAAAATGTGCCCGGGGCCATCACCCCGGCAGCCCCCTCCACACTACGCCCCTGCTTCAAGTACATTACGTTCATTGCTGTCTCGGAGAAATTGGCATGTCATATTCAAGCACCTTTTCATTTCACCTCTGTTGGGGGGTTATTTATTAAATATACGATATCACAAGTCACACGGCTGGCAAATCTTTTCAAAATATGGTTCTGTAGGCGGTGTTTTCATACCACATTACTAATTTCTGAATTGTATCCATTTCATTCACTCCTGATTTTTTTTATTTAAAAAATTCTTTTGACTTCATTATTAGAGCTCCTTGTGTTGAACTTTCCTTATTTTGTTGTTAATATTTGTTTTTTCCCCCTCTTTGTATGCATTGTTTGTTTTCATTCCTCAATAAAAAATAAAAAGAGAAAATAGAGCATTTGCAATTCAAATAGGCACATTGATCACATCCGATGTCATGGGCGCTAATTAATTTGTTAGTATGATTTCCTGTGAATGGAGAAAGAGAACTGGAAAAAAAGAGAATAATCATCTGTAGGCATCCTTCCCACATGAAATTCTGATGTTTATGCAGTGTCTCCGGAAGATGAGGTTGCTTTGAATCTTGCCTGAATGCACAGAGGGAATCCACATCAGAAGAGACATATGCTTTCATGGTGACTGGCCTGCTTATGAAATTTCTTGAATATGTAATTACTAGCAGGAAGGTTGTTCCAAAGAGCTTGAAACCCGAAAAGACACAGCTCAAAGCACTGACTGCCTGTGCTTGAACTATATCTGGATTAGCCTTATTGTTTTTGGTTAATTGAAACATTGCACTGATGAAGGCAGAGATAGCCAAGAAGATTATCTCCAGATGTTGTTGGACTACAACTCCCATCATCCCTGACCATAGGCGAAGGTCACAGGGGTCACCACAGCAAATCCAATTAAATGACAATTGGGGGAAAGGAAGACAAATAGAGCCTAGAAGAAGTAGCAGAGAGACGGACAAGCTCAATGTAATGCTAATGCTGCGGGTGTAAAAGAGTCTAGGGTTTTCCCCAGACACTTCTCCATCGCAAATCAATTGTACCTAACAGTTGTTGTGCAGCTCTGCCTGGAAAATTTGAATCAGATCATTAATGAGCAGCTTTATATAACATTTGGCTTTCTAACTGTTTGATCAGGTAAGATTCCATTTTGCTCCAAGCGAAATGCCTGAGTTCATTTGCAATTCAAACTCACATATTCATTGCCATCAGCAAAGCAGGAAACACCCACTGAGTTGCAAGAACAGCCACACAACGAAAGAGCAAAGAAACCCCCAATTTGGCATATGTATAACAAATCTGACTGTAAGGCAGTTGCTCAAGGCATGGTGAAGGTGTTCACCCATCCTTTACAAGGAATGGTTGTCTGCTACAGTGGTTTTCAACCAGTGTGCTGTGGCACCCTGGGGTGCCTTGAATGATGGTCGGGGTGCCACAGGCAACACAGGCCTCTGTCCCTCTTTCCTCCCTCTCTCCTCTGATGCCCTCTTGTGTCTCTGCCTGCCAAAGGCTTGCACAGCTGCTTGTTGCAGCAGCCCTGGGTACAAGCTCCCCAGGCGAATGGTGTCTCTGGGGCTGGCCAGGGGGCGCTGGTTGTCAGGAGCTGAGGTGGCCTCAGAGTAAGCAAGCAAGCAGGCAAGGGTGCCCAGCCAGCCAGTCCTATAGCCCTTGCTGTTGGGATTGAAGTCCCAGGCCCCTGTAGAGCAATGGGAGGAGGCACCTCTGTTTGGGACAGGGGAGTGCATCTCAGAGACCAGGGACAGCAGCAGCAGTTGCCTGGAGGACTCCCAGAGCCAGTGTGGTGTAGTGGTTAAGAGTGGTAATCTCGTGAGACTTCCGGGGTGGCGCCTCCGGAAAATGGCGGAACTCCCTTCGGACTGAAGGGAACCCGCTGCACGGAGGCTTGGGTCCTGCCGCTACGGCGCAGCGGGGACCCGCAAAAACCACAGGCGGAAGAAGCCTGTGGACGTGGGACTCGGCGGGCACCGAGAGCGCTCTCTCCCCTGTACAGGAGCCCGGTAACGGGCTCCGGAGTGGGAGGTGCGTGGTGCTGTGAGTCGACTGCTTCCTCCGTGCAGCAAAGCCGCACTGCCGTTATCGGAGAGCGCTGCCTTTTCCTGGACAATTTGGCATCTAAAATATCTATCCGTGAGTACCTGATCTTGGAAGAGTTGAACCACTTTTAAGACTGGTGAATAAACAAATAATATTGGACTTGAAATTGAACTTAATTGGGACTCGGAATGGGAAGGTCTAAACAGGAAGTCGCCTTCCGTTCTTTTGTTATGTGAAGAAAGCAAAGACAAAATATACTAAAGCCTGAAAATTAAATTTTAAGAGAACTAGAATTCAACATCTAAGATTTCTGAACCCCCCCCTTTGACAGCAGGAGAAAAAGGGGGTTGTATTTGGACTTTTCAATCCTGCGGAAGTGAGTTTAAAATAAAGCAATTTTCCACCGCCCTGAACCAGGAGCGGGCTGTCAGAATTGACGTTCTGAAGTTTATCCAGCTCGACAGTTAGTTAAAAGAAGGGTAACATTTTGATTCTACTGTTGCCTCGTGAAGGTGGAAGGGGGAATTTTGGCTAAAGGGTTTCTGGAAAATGTAAGATTGTTGCTGTTGCTTTTAGTCCTTTAAAAAAAAATACCTATTCCATCGAGTGGAATTTAGTGAAATTGCAACGCAGAGAGATTAAATGAGAAGGACTATTGGACTACTCTCGTGGGAAAGAATTTTCTTTGACCTTGAAGGACAATGCTAGTACAAAGGCTTGAACAATTGTTCCTGGAAGGTTTTTCAAAACTAAGTGCCCAGCTGGACCAGATGCGTCAGGAGACGACCTTGAGGATGGAAGTTACCAGAGCACAGCAGCAAACAAATGAAATTCAGTTAAAGGCTATACAAGCATATGAACCTGCTGTAGTGACGGAGGCTTCAGAGATGGAGGGACCTTTGGACGGGCAAGATCAGCCTTTGAACTTGATAAATGAACTTGGGACAAACCAGATTCGGAAAGATGAAATGTGGTCAGATTTGGAAATGGGGGGATGGATCGACCCCCCCCATATGGTTATTTGGACCTTCCGAGTCTGGTGATGGGCTATCAGAGGATTGGAGTAGCCAAAGTCTCCAAGCTTTGTGGAAATTTGAAGTGGTATTATTTGCTGTCTGGCTTGGGCAATGGGTTTGGGATGGACTTGCTGCAAAGGGTCAAAAGCATTTTCTTGCTGGAGCATCCACGACTGGAAAGGAATCATCAACAAGAGTGGCGAAAGGGGCAAGAAAGAGACTTGAGGGCCTCGGATACGAGACAACCAGGTTAAGGGAGGTTAAAAGGACTGACAATCCCGGGTCCAGGGGAGGGAGGTTGGAAGCTGACTGGACTGAATTTGACTTATTAATTTTTCTTTTTTATTTTTTAATATTGGGAATGCTTACAAATGTTTGAAGGATGTTGAATGAAATTACATGGCTTAAGTAAGGATTGGTAAATGATTCGTAAAAAGGTAATGATGCAAGAATTTGGTAAATATTGAATATAAGCTATGAGTTTTAAAGTTTTTATATGACAAGAGGGAAAATAGAATAAGGAAACGTAATGACAGATTGTTATGAAAAAACAGAAAGGATTTGCTGTAAAAATTAAAAATTAAGAAACAAAAGAGGGGAGGAGGAGGAAGTCTAGAAAGGAAGTCAATAGAGATTGTAAAGGACTTTATATTTTTGTTTTTCTGTTTCTCTTTTTTTTTTCTTTCTTTGCGGCTGGGTTTTCTTTTCTTTTTTGTTTATGCACTATTTTTGTTTTTTGTATCCTAAAATATTTTTTTTGGAAATTTTTGTTGTTATTTTTTGAAAATTCAATAAATATCAATTATAAAAAAAAAGAAAGAGTGGTAATCTCGTAATCTGGTGAACCGGGTTCGCGTCTCCGCTCCTTCACATGCAGCTGCTGTGACCTTGGGCCAGTCACACTTCTTTGAAGTCTCTCAGCCCCACTCACCTCACAGAGTGTTTGTTGTGGGGGAGGAAGGGAAAGGAGAATGTTAGCCGCTTTGAGACTCCTTCAGGTAGTGATAAAGCAGGATATCAAATCCAAACTCTTTTCTTCTTCTTCTTCTTCTTCTTCTTCTTCTTCTTCTTCTTCTTCTTCCCAATGAGAGGGGAGAGAAGAGGCTGAGAGAGCACACCACAAGGGAGGGTGTTCGAAAAAGGGTGAGAGGCTGCTGGCTCTGCAGGCAAGGGTGACATAACTGGGCTCCTGAGCCCCGCAAGGGTGCCACAGAAAGATTGTAGTTGTTCAAGGGAGCCATAAACTCAAAAAGGTTGAAAATCTCTGGTCTACTGGAAGGGCTTTCAGTGTTCTATGGAGTCCTCTCTTTGCAGGGGTCTCTATTCTAAGTCTGGTTTAAAGATTGCAAACCCTAAGAAGCAAGAATGGGGCAGGGCATGAATAGTCCTACCTTCTGCTCACCAGCCTAAGCAGGCACACAGGAGATCACCTGCTCACAATTTCCCACACTCTGGTGAGATGCATTATTTGTTTGTTTGTTAACAAGATTGATATACCACTTAGTTTTTTTTAATAAAAAAACAACCTCAAGCTCTCAACTCAGCATACATAAAGCAATATAAAATAATCATAAAATCCAACTTTTAAAAAAGACATAATAATTTTTTGTCAAAATATGCATAGAATCAACAGTTTAAGGAAAACAAATATAAGTAATAAAATTACACATCTGGGTAGGCTTCACTAAACAAAACAGTGTTTAGCAGGTATCGAAAACTGTACAGAGGTGCCTGCCTCTTATTAATGCATTATTTTCCCATTTGCAGTCATTATTTCTAGATTTGCATCTATGATGTCGTTGGTTTGGTGTGGAGTCAGTCTGGGTGATGCCCTGAGTGCCCTCCAATTCTTGGAGTCCTGTACCTAGTGAGGTGGGAGAACAATGGAGACAGTTGTGTGTGAGTGAGCTGGGAGCAGGCTGGAAGCTGGAGACGCAGAGACATGCTTGCTTTGTGCTGGATCCAAAGCTTCACCTAATGAAGAAACAATATTTGGTTGCGGGGTGTGTGTGTGTGTGTGTGTGTGTGTGTGTGTGTGTGTTGCAGGGTGTTAATGCTGTGAAACCCGCCATGTTATGCTCAGGTTGTATATATGTGTGAATAAAACCATATAGCCTGCCTGACACAACCACCTCTGCCGACCTTCATTCCAAGAAAAAAGAACTCTGGGTAAGCACCTGAAACTTCTGGATTCTTTCACCGCTCAGAGATTGGGGTGGCACGTAACAATATCTATAAATTAGCACATGCAAATTTCATGCAAATCTGTGTATCTCTCTCTCTCTTTATTCGTTTCTCTTTTTGAGGAGGGGCAATGCCTAAGCAGCCCCCTAAGGCATGGTCCAAAAGAAACAGAAGAGGCACCCTCCTGTTTGTGGGGTTGGGCATCGGGGTAACAGAGGAACGTTCAGGACTTGAAAGAACAGTTGTAAACAAGATGAAACTCCCTGCAGCTGCTTCTCAGGTTTAATCCACTGCTGGTCTGCAGGCTGCTTTGAGTGGATTTGATGTTTGCCTGTGGAGGGTGCTTGACGTGGGTGTGAGGCAGATAAACACAGCTGACGAGTGACATTTGGGTCTGCTTCCCAGCTACACAGGAAGCTCCTCACTCACCGAAACCCAGGCTCCTTTAAAAAAAAGCCCACGTGTAACTACTATATTTAGATGGGGAGATAGTTTGATTGTAATGTTGTAACAGATGTCTTTGGTGCACTCCATTAGGAAGCCCTTGCACTAAGTCAGACGATCGCGCCATCGATCTCAATACTGTCTACACAAATTGCTCTTCAAGTTTCAGGCAGCAGTCCTTCCAAACTATACCTGGAGATGCCAAGGACTGAACCTTCCGCATGCAAGGCAGAGGCTCTGCCACTGAGCTTCAGAATAAGTCTCTGTCCAGTTCCTGGTAATCCCGCTTCCTCCTCCCACCCTGTCTCCCTGGACCACAACCCACCCCATTGAAGAGCAGGGGTGGGGCTGACATACAGAAGGTGCTTTTCTGGGGAAGAAGAAGAGGAGGAGGAGGAGGTTGGATTTGATATCCCGCTTTATCACTACCTGAAGGAGTCTCAAAGCAGCTAACAATCTCCTTTCCCTTCCTCACAACCCACAACAAATACGCTGTGAGGTGAGCGAGGCTGAGAAACTTCAAAGAAGTGTGACTAGCCCAAGGTCACCCAGCAGCTGCTTGTGGAGGAGTGGAGACATAGCTGTCAACTTACAGATTTGAAAATAAGGGACCAGCAGCCTTGAAAATAAGGGACCAGCAGCCAAAATAAGGGACCTGCAGCCTCACCTGTTCCAGGCACTCCAGTCTTCCAGTCCTCCTGCAGTCTGGTCAAACTCATGCTGGTAGCTTTGAGAACACTGTCCAACCAACTTTGTAACCAGAGGTTCAACTGACTAGAATCTGAATCACATGCACCACAAGGCCTATGCAGCCTCAACTTAAGATGGCTCCCCGGCCTGGCTTTGCACTGCAAAGTTTGCAGCAGCGCGTGCAACAAAATGGCGTCCAGCATTCAAAAACCCCCTCAGCTTGCATTAACTAGCCACACACAAGGCATGCAAGCTCCACCCCCCAGTCGTTTTTAGACTTCTTATTGGGTGAGCAACACAGCCAAGCAACACAGTTTGAGCCTCCCTCCTCCCTGGCCGGCAGGGAGGGAGGGAGGGAGAGGAGCTGCTTCCTTTGAAATTTAAGGGACATCATTTAAGGGACATTTAAGGGACATCCATCAATAAGGGACAGCAGCGGGACATGGCGCTGGAATAAGGGACTGTCCCTTCAAGTAAGGGACACTTGACAGCTATGAGTGGAGATGCGAACCCGGTTCACCAGATTATGAGTCTACCGCTCTTAACCACTACACCACACTGGGGACTTACATCAGACCTTCACTGGATATAAGACCATATGTTTAGAAAAGCATAATTTCTGCTTTAGTACTTTTTTCTGTAAATGGGTTTTCTATTCTAGGTTGTAGTCCCATTTTTGGAGTAGACCTGTTGAAATTTTGGAACATGACTAAAGTAAGTCCATTAATTTCAGTGGAGCGACTTTGTATAGGACATCGTTGAATACAACCCTCGGTTGTGGCTTAATTTAATTTATTGATTGTTAGTTCTATCTCCATGTGTCCTCATTCCTTGACGCTGCTTTTAGTCGGGTGGCTGTGTTTTTAATGATGGTTTATTGTCAATTTTATACTTATATAAGCAGCTTTGAGCAATCCCCTTTGGAGGGAAAAACAAGGTATACATTTTCATATATTATTATGAAAATAATTTAACAGAAAATAGGTTTTAAAACACAGATTCAAATATATTTCTAATTGCATATTTTTATGCGGACTTTTTAAATGTGAAAATTGGACAGGACTAGTAGATGAACGAAACATGTGAAAGTGCCATGGAGATGAGAAATGCTAATTTTTCCACATCCTTAGTTGTGTAGTTTAATGCCACATTATGCCATACATTAAAGAGGTGTGCTTTAAATGTATGGCTTCTCCCAAAGAATAATGGGAGCTGTAGATTGTTAAGGGTGCTGAGAGTTGTTAGGAGACCCCTGTTCCCCTCCCAGAGATACAATTCCCAGAATTCCCTGTGAAGAGGGATTGATGGTTAAGTCACACTGAGAATGGTGGTACAACAACAACTGCTCTGTTATAACAGCATTAAAAGGCCATGGACATTCCCATCTAGCTCAAGGATTCCCTAAAGAAGTAAGTGGACTTTGGACCATGTGCAGGAAAGGGAAGACCTCCCAGGCTGGGAAGCTGCGAAACAAAAGGGAAGCTCCCAGGTGAAAGCTTGGAGGATCCACCTCTTTCTGTGTGAGACAAGGGTTGAGATCCACCTGTATGTTGCATTGCATTGCATTGCATTGCATTGCACTTCACTGTATTGTATTGTGAAAAGCCTTAATAAAATATTTTTTTAAAGAAGTAAGTGGGCTTCCACAGATAGTACAGGGTTGCAGTCTGATGCTGTAACCCATTTGTTTTAAAATGTTGCTAACTCTAACAGCTGTAGACAAACAGCTTAAAATGTGCCTGCAACCAGGTCTTCAGGTTCTAAACATGAAGAGAAATTGAAAAAAGAGCCCAAAATGTCTTCTCGCTGGAGTTGTTAGACCTTTGCAGGGAAAGCCCAGGAAATGAGGGTCACCACTTAGGGTCAAAACGTCTCACAAAGCCATAACAGGACCCAAACCACAAAGCTCAACCTTTGCCTGATGTGAAAGGCTGTTGCTAATTAAAAGTCCTGTGAACTCTCCAGCATAAAACAGCATTAACATTTCAGAAGAACCCCATTATAGGGTGACCCAGCAAGAAAGCCTTGATGGCAACTGGCACAAAGGATGAATCAAAGATGTTGAAATCCTCTCGCTCTCTTCTCAGCTTAATGGCATTTCTCTCAGCTAATAAAGATGGTGGGATTTCAAAGTAATAACTTTTCCTGCTAAACAAAACAATATGTCAGATGGCTGTGATTGCTGCTTCCTGCTTCGCTTCTTTTTTACCACTTCAAACGTCACGCTAGATCAGAGTTATTTTGTGGTCTGGAGATATTTATTCACTGCTTTCCTCCCTTGAAATGTTTTAAACTCTTCAGTTAAGTGATAGGAATATATCCTAGACATAATTCTATAGACCAGGGAAAGCCAACGTGGTGTTTTCTGTATTTCTTAGGCTACAGTTCCCATTGGCCTCTGACACCATAGCCAATGGTCATAAGAACTTTAAAAAAGAGTCTGCTGGATCAGGCCAATGGTCCAACTCGTCCAGGATCCTGTTCTCAC